CAGCGGGAGAGGCCGGGCCCTGGCCGCCCCTCCGCTGGCGCGTCCCTGTCAGATAAGCGGAGCGCTTCCCTGCGTCAGGACCCGATACTGGCTCCCTATCCGGAGGTTCGCACGTGCGTTCCGGAGAGGGCGAAATCAACCCTGCACCGCGGGAAGAGGCTAGAGTCACGAAATCACATTGTCTTCTTGGGGCTGCTGTCCGTGTGCAGCGACATTCTGCCCGTAGAGGACTCAGCTCAGGGCCTGGTACGCTCAAGATCTGTTAGCTGCCAGCACCATCACCCCCATCATCACCACAACCACCGTCATCACCAGCAGCATCCCTTAATCTTGTCTGCCTTGCTTCTCAAGCAAGGTGCTCCAGGAGTGGGTGTGGGCCACCTTTGCCCTCCCTCGCAGATGCAACTTGCCAACTTCCACCTCCACTTGGACCTGCTGTCTCTACTCAAGTCTAGCTGGTGCCTGCTGGAGTTTCTTACCATATCTTCTGACTTCACACGCCTAACCCAAGCTTATTATCTCCCCTAATATTGGACCTCTTTAAAATATATATTACCTCTTTCCTGTTGTGAAAAGACAGTTTGCCTTTAGTGCCAAGCCCTCTCCGCCGGTTTACGCTGTACACTGCTGTCAGATTGTCATTCCATGCTAAATGCATAATCTGATAATGAAATCTTTAGGGTAAAGTCCACATTCTTAGACCTCAAAATCTCTGTAAAATTAATGGGCAGGGTATGGTAGTTCATGCCGGTAATCCCAGCGTTTTGGGAGGCCAAGGCAGGAGGATCTCTTGAGGCCAGGAGTTTGAGACTAGCCGGGGCGACATAACGAGACCCCCACTTCTACAAAAATTTTTAAAATTAAAAAAAAGAGTGGGGGGAGCGGGGCGCAGGTAGCTCACGCCTGTGATCCCAGCACTTTGAGAGGCAGAGGCGGGCAGATCACTTGAAGCCAGGAGTTTGAGACCAGCCTGGCCAACATGGTGAAACCCCGTCTCTACTAAAAATACAAAACTTAGCCGGGGCTGGTGGCTCGCACCTGTAATCCCGGCTACTACGGAGGCTGAGACAGGAGAATTCCATGAACCCAGGAGACAGATGTTGCAGTGAACTGAGATTGTGGCACTGTACTCTAGCCTGGGTGACAGAGCAAGACCCTATCTCAAAAAAAAAATGAAAGAAAGAAAGAAAGAAAAGAATATCCACTTTGCTCCAAAACACTGGACTACTCATCTCCACCAAATATAACTAAATGTTACCCATTTGGAACTGATCACATATTTATTAACTCAATCACTTATCCATTCATTGAGCCCTTGTTACTTGCCCAGCTTTTTTGGGGATCCCAATTCAAGATTGAGTAATGCATGGCCATGTCTAGTCTTCAACTACATTAAATTCCATAAGAGGGCCGGGCGCGGTGGCTCACGCCTGTAATCTCAGCACTTTGGGAGGCCGAGGTGGGCGAATCACGAGGTCAGGAGATCGAGACCACCGTAAAACCCCATCTCTACTGAAAATACAAAAAATTAGCCAGGCGCAGTGGTGGGTGCCTGTAGTCCCAGCTACTCGGTAGGCTGAGGCAGGAGAATGGCATGAACCCGGGAGGCAGAGCTTGCAGTGAGCCAGGATCCCGCCACTGCACTCCAGCCTGGGCGACAGAGCAAGACTCCG